AGGAAAGAGAAGCTTTGGGGTGATCTGATTTGTGGCCTCCCAGGACCTGAAAGGGGCCTGAAAGGAGAGAATCTCTGTCCAGCTGTTTCCAAGGGCCTGGAGTGGCAGAATGAGGGGAATGGATTCACAGAGGGCAGGGTTAGGTGGGATATTGGGAAGGAATTCCTCCCTGTGAGAGCAGTCAGGCCTTAGCACAGGTTGCCCTGGGGCTGCCCCATCCCTGGAAGTGCCCAAGGCCAGGCAGGATGCAGCTCTGAGCAGCCTGGGATGGGGGAGCTGTCCCTGCTCATGGATGACCTTTAAGGTCCCTTTGAACCCCAACAAATCTGTGATTCTTTGACCTGCAAGGTGGGAGTCCCTTTTCTCTCCTCACTTGCAGGAATTGGTGCTGCACTTCCCATTTCCTTCCCTGGGCACCCTTTTCCCACTGTGCTGTAAAACCTGAAGGTGAAGAAGCTCAGGAGCCACCCTGGGGTGTTCCAAACTCCCAACAAAGCCCGTGCTATTTTAAGGACTTAAACGAGTAAAGCAGCTCAGACCTTTGGGGAGCAGCCCTGGTTTCAGTCACCTCCAGTCTGACCTGGGAAATCTGAGTCAGATTGCTAATCCTGGATTTAGGCCTGTTTAGCAAAACAGACCCCAGAGATTAATTGTTGAGCTGCCCCCAAACAGGGCAGGATTGGTGCCCAGCTAAATCTTCCTGGCTGGTCAGACATGGGGGATAAATAAGCAGAGATAAATGAAGTCTGGGCTGCATATCCCCTAATTGGATTGCTCTGGCTCCTCACACCCTCTGTGGTGGCCCAGACAAGGAGTAAATCCTTTGGTTTCACAGCTGGTGGAACTTGCCAGGGGAATGGCACCACCAAAATGCCCAAAAGCAGGGGCTAAGCCTGCTCAAATGGAGCGGGGGATGCTCGTGGAAGGTGATTACAGGAGCAGATTGCTCGTCTGTGCCTGTGCAGGAGGAGCTGAGCAGAGCTTTGGGTGCGTCTCAGTGACCTCAGAGCTCAGCCCTGGCTTAAGGCCCTGCTGCAAGGCTTGGCCCAGTGGCTGCAATTAAAGGATTCTGTGCCTGTCCAAGTCCTGTGCATCCTGAGAGATGAGCTGGGCCTTGGGAGTGTGGAAAACCCACGAGTGGGGGCTGAGGCACCTCATGGATCTGGTTTTTGGGGAACCTCTTGGGAAGGGTTTCATTCAGGAACTCGTGCTCTAGCTGGGCTTTGATAGAATCTGGCACTGAGAGCTGCTGCAGCACATGGCTGGGGAGCTGTCCAAATCTTGGAAACATGGCCTGGTGCAAGCCTTGGGCCACTCCTGTCCCTGCTGTCCCCGTGTCCCTGCTGTCCCCGTGTCCCTGCTGTCCCCGTGTCCCTGGGACCAGCTGCAGTTTTTTTTCTCTGCTCTGCTGCCTGTCACTTGTACCCTGCAGCTGTAAAAGTGAAGCTGTCCTGGGTGGTGCTTTCCCAGAAGTGCAGAGCTGATCATTTTGTCCGTGTTTTGACAGTGAACAGCTCAAGATTYCCTGGGCTGGGCCCATCCCAGTGTCTGCTGTGAGGTTGGGAATTCACCCTCTCAAAGGAGCCACACTCGAGCAATACCAGACTGGTTTTATTCCCATTATTTCCTTCAGGCACTGCCTGGTACCAGATGAGCTGCTGGGAATGGCAGCTCCCGTGTTTTTATTCCTCCCTGGGCATTGCAGGATAGAAAGCCTGGAGAGRAAGCAGCCAGCACCTATCAAATGCCACATTTTCAACTTTGTGCCTTCATTTTTCCCCCRTTTTCTGCAGGAGAACTTCCAGTCTGTCTATAACTGGCAATACATCCACTGCCTGTATTTCTGGTGTCGAGTTCTCAGCACCATCCACCCCAGTGAAGTCCTGGAGCCCCTGATCTACCCCTTGACACAGGTCATYATTGGCTGTATCAAGTGAGTAGAATTCAGAATTCTTTTTCTCTACTTTTATTATTTTACTGGTTTGCCATTTGGATTTAACCCTTTACTGTAAGGAATGCTGTCAAAGATGGTTTTAATTGAAATATTTCAGCCCCAGGTATGAGTGAGCTCCTGTTCAGGGGTGACAGAGTTGTGGTTTGGGTTTTTCTTCCCTCTTTGTGTAAGAAAAGTGTCAATCTGCATAACCTGGRCAGATTATCCCTGTGACTGCAAGGAAAAGGATCTGCCTTGCTTTGGAAAATCCTCATCCTCACTGTAAATACACCCAAAAGCTGCATTTCTGGTGCCTGTTTTTTTTTTGGGATTTGCAGAAATAGGGCTCGGTTGTTATTTTCAGGATATTCTGCTGGGAATTACATTCTCCTCCCCCTCGGGTTGATTTGTGTGAAACGTTTGTGCTCTGAGCCGGCTGTTAATAAYGAGCATTGAGGGAATTTGGGGATCTCTGGTGATCTCCCCAATCCTGTTAGCTCTGTTAACCAGATTCCCAGCTTTCCAAGCCGGTCTGGAAGGGCTCCCCGGTGGAGATGAAGATAAGCAGATTTAAACGATCAGATCAGAGGATGCAAACATCCCTCTCCCCATCCCCCACAACTCCTGGGTGATTTCAGGCAGCTTTTTACCTGTCCAGGCAGATCAATCAGGGCTTGGGGCCAAGAAGAGGGGAATTGGGGCAATCTCAGCTGGTTTTTAGCAGCAGTGGTGGCCAGGGCAGCTTGGTGTGAGCTGCAGGTCCTGCCTGACGAGGCTGTGGGGGTTTGGGAATCCCACAGATGGGTTTGGGGTGACCTAATCGTGGCCTT